ATCGTAGCCTGCGAACGCAGACGTATTTCCGGCTGTCGCTTGTCGCCGCCGAAAATAACGTCTGCGAACCCGAGCCAGGAAACGATTTCTGTGACGTAAGAATTTTAGGCCAATAACAGTTTAGCTCAAGTAGCCCCAGAACTACTGCGCGAGGTGTTCGCTGCGAGGAGCACTCGAGTTTAATTCTATCATGGAATCTGATTGGCCAAGGAGAAACAAAAGTCATTACGTCGCAGAAATCGTTTCCTGGCTCGGGTTCGCAGACGTTATTTTCGGCGGTGACAAGCGACAGCCGGAAATACGTCTGCGTTCGCAGGCTAGGGGGGTCGGAACGAGAGTGGAAAAGACAGGAAAACAAGTTAGAAGACGCAAACCAATCCCAGGACAATGTTATAGCGCAGCTGTCTACAACCGAACTACTAGTACTTTGGAACACTTGCGACTTGCTCGGGCCCTACACCTTCAACTGGATACCTAATCTCCTACGAACAGGTTTAATCTCAGGTTTTCTAGAGGCCTAGGGGTATATTTACGGTAACGGGCGAAAGCCGAGTGAGCCGAGCGCGTTTCACGTGCAGGTTTCTTCCGGGACTTTGCTCTGTTCGCGAATTCTTTTCACCTTGTATATACCCAACAAGTAAGGCCCTGTCCACACTACGTCGGAGGAATTTGAAAACGGAGGTTTCACTCTGAAAACGCGTCAGATGTTTTCCATCCACACTACACCAGAAGAAGTTTAAAATGCAACGATCAACGATCATTTTAGATTTGTGTTTGCGGAAGTCTCAGTCAAGAAAATCACATGATTATCGTGACACTATCGTTTTCGAAAAGCTCCGTTTTCAGTGTTTTTCGCCCACACGAAAACGAAAAGCCGGCGTTTTCAAATTCCTCCGGTTTCAAGAGCGTCTTCGAAAAGTTCCGTTTTCGTGACAGATTACTGTGGACGGTAGGCCTAACGTAACCGTAGAAAGGCAGTCCTTCGGTGTAGTGTGGACGCTGCCTAAGCTGGCTTACAGGCTAGCGTACGCGGTAAGATTCGCATGACAAGAACTCCTCACTAGCAAGAGCTGAAGCACAGCCTCGTTCACATCAGTGGGAGCGAATAACGTGTTTTCATGTCCTGCGAGTGCGCTAAGCTTAGGCCGTCATACTGAAGGCACTGTGAGAGGAGTACCAGATAATCAACACAGTTAAATTTCCATGTTTATTAAGCAGGAATATATTACATCGGATGATTATCCGTATCAGAAAACCGATTTTTCCTTAAGGAATAAAGGAAGACTAGTCTAATTCCACCCTCTAATTGTCCACGTTTATAATTACTATTTCACGCTTAGGTTTGCAAAAGAAAGCAACGTTAATTTCTACTTGTAGCAACCATAATTAGATAATCGTGTCGAAATAGAAATTTCAAATTACAGATTCCTTGATTTCAATTACTTACTGGTTGAAAAAAACTGATGGTTATTTCACAAAATAGCTTTTTCTTCTAGTATGTTACTAATGAACTGATTTCTGTGAAAAAGAGTATAAGTCACCATCGATACGCCCGTGTGATTTCTGACGGAACCCTCTTCCTTTCTGATATCATTTTCTCTTTTCAATTCAACCTCTAAACCGTAGTTCACATTTCCGGCGTCAATCAGAACTTACCGTCTTTCTCAATTTTAAACTTATTCAATAATTAATAATTGCATTTAAAGAAATCTAATCCGATCCGCCTCTTGCATCTCTCGGGTAGTACTCCGCCAGAATGGATTGTGGGATTCGCTTTAACATCTCTTTGGGGAAAATTCGCAGCAGGGACCAGCCAATGTCCAGGGACTCGAACACTGAGCGATTTTCGTATGTTCCTGAAAGACGAGGGAAGAAATCAATTTAAAACACAGAAATGATTGTGCTCCAAGCCATAGTTAACATATTCAAGCTGAGAAGTTTGTGATCTCTTCAACTTTTAGTTCAGTGTTTGATCGGCACGTAATTTCTTTCTAGAGCATCAGCAGGTGATGAGAATTAAACATATCATAATCATCAGGTAGAGAACCATTTAAGATTAAAACAAAAAAAAATACGAATCAAAAAGCTCTTTTTCTCGTACCTTGTGAAATGAAATTCTTTTCAAACTTGGACAAAAATTCTAAATATAACAAGTCTTCGGATGTAAGAGCCTCTTCTCCCACCACAGCTTTCATGGCTTGTACGTCTTTACCAATGGCATAGTTAGCGTACTGAAAGAGAAAACAACGTAAACACATGTAGCCCACTGAGTCAACAAAACCAAGGTAATAACATGTAGCGAATCACAAACCCAAATAACGCAACAAACCAATCAAAATTAAACGGCCAGGAAAACGCGCATACCGTAGTAAGTCAAGTTTTGATAGGCTCATTTTTTGTTCGTGATTGTTTGAAAACCCAGCATGTTTGCTGATTGAATAAAACCGATAGTAGAGCTTGGCAAATACCAAGACAAATGTTAACCATTTAAAACGAAATTTAGGTTGAATCTACAGATGTAATGTAGCATTATTTGTTCGCCCAAATTGACTGAAATAATTCTGAAGGTAATTTAAGTCTTAGTGCCAACTGGAATAAACATAAATCTGTCTCGAACTGTCTCAATATTCCACTTCATCTCTAGTTCCAGACCCTTCTGCCCATATTAACACGTCCGTGTGGTTCCTAAGCTCGGTTCCAGGTGCTCCGAGTAAATTCTGGTACAGTAAGTACTTTCGTTCAAGACTTTTCAGTTGTCTCGGTTTTGCCAAGTAGCTGGTCGATTTTGGACGGTCAGATGGAAAATCAGGTGCCTTAATCGTGAAAAACATAAAAGAGGTATCATACCAACTGGTTAGAAACGTCAGCATGATCCTTTCTCGTCATGCCTTCGCCAATAGCTGACTTCATCAACCTGGACAACGATGGCAGCACGTTGATTGGAGGATAAACCTGGAAAAATAGGTTTAGCAGGTAAAAGTAAGATTAGATATTGACGCAAGAGTGTCAAAATGTCAACCGCTTATTTTTTTACAGGTCATAACCCCAATCACAACGTAAAATAACTTGTTAAGACCTGTTGAAACCAAACTGAATTATTCGACCACAAAGATTCACACCTGTCTATTGTGCAGTTGACGATCAACATAAATCTGTCCCTCTGTGATATATCCTGTTAAATCCGGGATTGGATGTGTGATATCTGAAACCGTCAGAAAAAGGAGTGTTTAAGACTCGAGACAGACATTTTGATGTACCGTTATTTCACTCAGTACATGTGCTGTAAAAGCGAAACCTTACCATCGTTAGGCATTGTTAGAATGGGGATTTGTGTAATGGAACCATTTCTTCCTTCCACACGCCCAGCACGCTATGATTTAATAAGGAAAGAACATATCAATATCAGTCAGATCAGATTGGTAAAATTCACCAACAAGGAGACTGTACCTCATAAATTGTGGCCAAGTCAGTGTACATGTATCCTGGAAAACCACGACGACCAGGAACCTCTTCACGAGCTGCAGACACCTGCACAGTGAAAATGTATTTAATGTAATTATTTTTATTAAGTGAAACCCCAAGTCTTTTTGTTCAATCATTTGAGATGGCATTAAGCAGTACTTTTCTGTGATGTGGTTCATTTGGAAAACTGAACATCCACATGAAAGTTTGAAAGTAATGTGTCCAAGATACCAACAGGTGCTAGTGTAGAGCAGTTTAATAGCTAAATACATCATCAAGATCAGTGCACACAATAACAAAATAATGCAATTTAGCAGTAATCGGCGTTCTTTCAGTTTTCCGAATTACACAAAGTGGACATGATCTGGCATGTCTGCCTGTAAAAATGATCTCAAGTTGGAACTTTTGGGGTTCAACATCAAAATAATTTTAAACTCTAACATTACACATTTTTCCCCTTCACTCTAATCTGACTGTTCCTGACAGTGGTCTGATACAAGATTAAAACATACCTCTCGCAAAGCCTCAGCGTAAGAGCTCATGTCCGTAAGAATAACCAAGACATGGTTTTCACACTGGTATGCCAAGAACTCGGCTGTAGTCAGTGCCAGGCGAGGTGTGATGATACGCTCAATACTGCAGAAACAAGTTAAAGGCCGTATCAGTTAATAGCTAACACTAAATAAGTAGATATACTAAACTTGATTCAAGAGAATAATTTGAACTTCCATGAAATGAACAAATGAAACCAACAATTTATTAAAGCCTACATGCAAGGAAATAATGTCTTACGTTGGATCATTGGCAAGGTTGAGAAACAAGCAGACATTCTCCATGGAACCATTTTCTTCAAAGTCCTGCTTGAAGAAACGTGCTGTTTCCATGTTGACCTGGAGAGAGTCCAAAGAACATTTAGACAATTCTTGTATTTAAACTATTCAGTACTACCAGTACATTTAATAGCTTTGAGGAAGGGTAAGGGAAACTGGAAGAAGTAGTGCCACATACCCTATTTGTGGTTCGCACAAGTGGTGGTAACACTGACACTTTCTTTTTGAAATTACAGTTAACCTGATAATACATGTACACTGTACACGTGCAACAGTTTTAAAATGTTCTTTATGCAGTCCACTTACACCCATAGCAGCAAAAACAATGGCAAAGTTGTCACTGTGGTCATCCATTACACCCTTTTTAAACTTCACCAAACCTGCTTGACGACAAATCTGGGCTGCAATCTGATATAGAACACAAACATGGTGACACAAAGCTTCAATTTTATTGATTGAATACAATGCATGAAAGAGAGAACAATTTAAATATAATAGTTGACAATAACATCGTTTGCAGATAATTTGCTACTGGCAATGTTAACTTACATCATTGTGAGGCAGACCTGCTGCAGAAAATATGGGGATCTTTTGGCCACGAGCAATGCTGGAAAAAAATTGTCAAAACAAATAAATATATAAGTACTGTCTTTGATGAAATCTTTATAATCACAACTGTAGCCTGTGAACACAAATGGATATCTGGCTACTCTTTGAAATCCATCTGCAGCACAGTCTATAAAAGCAGTTATGATGAATTCATCTCTGTTACTACTAGAGATGGATATTTTGGGAATTACATTTACTGGAACTGAAGAAAGTAAATTTTACTGTTTAAATGAACCTCCCAATAAGGAGAACCCTGATCACCTGTAAATGTGTTTTAAAAACCTTGAAAAACTGTCTCTTTACCATGATTATACATTCATCAGTGTCCGGAAGATTTGACATTAGGGCAATACCCAACAGTTGATGATTTTTCTTTTTTCTTACAACTAGTACAACTGATGCATGTAATTTGTAATGAGATGATGATCAGTTATAAGGATTTACTGTAAGAGCTTGGAACAAAGAAAATACACTGGCTGCACCACCATTAAAACCCACTTCACCCCACAAAGTGTTCACTCTAACCTATTCATGGTATCAATGGCAGAAATCCCAGTTTGAATCATTTCTTCAGGATAAATCCTGGACCATGGGTTGATTGGTTGACCTGTGCATGAAGTAAGGAGAAGCACATCCTTCAATTGATTTAATGTACCGGTAATGATTATTGCAGTCGAACTATGCACTACGTGTTTGTTCTATGCAATACAATTATGTACATGAATATTCACATTTTATTAAGCATACAGGGTTGCATACTGGTACATGTATGTACTGTATAAATATAAAAATTACATTTCAATTGCCAACATGTGCATGATTCACATACTATACAATGTTTAAATTATTCAGTATGACATAGTTCAATGACTCTCCCTGCCATCAGGGTGGACTACAAAAACACTGTAATAGTTAGCACGCTGGACTCTAGATTGAATGGTTTGGGTTGTCAGAGGTACAGCCCTGGCCTGTATTAAAAGTGTATCGTGATCTTAGGCCAGACACTTAAGTGTCAGAGTAGCTCTCTTCACAGAGCTGTATAAATGCGTACCCACGAATCTAATTGTTGGGGCTACATGTACATTGTAACCCGGCAATGGACTAGCATCCCATCCAGGGGGGAGTAGAAATACTCCAACAGAAACCAGGAATTACCCCTGGTGGTACATGCATGGACCACTTTTAGTACTGTGCATCTACCACTACCAGATGTAAGTTCTGAACAATATCATGTAATTGTGGAGAGTAAAATTGAATTGAGTCTTGGTTTGACAAAATGTAACACAGGCAAAATCATTTTGTCAGTGTAACATTTCATACATAACAATAACCACCTTGAATATCCAAAAAATCTTCTGCCATGACTGCAGGGCCTTTATCAATTGCCTTTCCAGATCCATTGAATACACGCCCTAGAAAGCCAGATTAGAAATTGTAAGTACATGCATGTACATCATAGATTGTTGGCTGAGATTATCACATTTGTTATATCTTAGGTTATTTACAAGATAGAACATGTAATTTCTACACTTCTAAACACTTAGAAATATTCAGATCTTCCCAAAAAGGGGTTGATGTCTATAAATCTACTACATGTACAGACATACTTGTACACAACAAAAAAGAATGATCTGCTCACCTAACATGTCTGATGACACAGGTGTCCTTAAAATGTCTCCTGTAAATTCACATGTGGTGTGTTTAGCATCAATACCTGATGTTCCTTCAAAAACCTGTGAAAGAAACATGGATGTTAACATTACGCACAGAGCTACATGTTTGGCATGAATTATAAATGCAATAAATAGAAACAGAAGTGTAGCAGCTCTTGTAAGCTTGTAATTCTCTACATTGTTAACAGCTGTTATTGTTTTAGGGCTAGCGGCTTTGTTTCTGTTGTTCGCTCTATTGTTCTCTCAAAAGGTAGCTTTAACAGCTGCTAAGGAGACTAAGCTTTGCTGCTTCTGCTTGATGGGATGTTACATGTATTCCATTCTGGGTTATCTCTACATGTTATGTTGCCTATTGATTAATGAAAACTAACTTTCCGGCATCTGTGTACCTAGGTAGTGTCTGAACAGCAAACTGCCGCAGACAATCCACAAAAGATTGGGGATAACTTGTACATGTATCATATCTGGGGAATAGTAATGCTCCAATTCATGGTAGACCTATAGGCCACAGCTTTAAGCTGTGGATTCTAGAGAGTAAAAGATATGCTTGATGATCCAGGCTAAGATACAGGCTTTACCAATACCATTCTAAAATTCTACAGTACCTGTACGACAGCTTTTGATCCACTGACTTCCAACACTTGACCACTCCTTTGTGAACCATCTTGAAGTGTTAATGTGACAATCTCTGCATACTTTGGAAACTAAATGACAACAAAACTAAGATTAAAATAATATGAAGATGATGAAGAGATGTCCACTAGTACTAACAACATGGAGCACAATTTATAAAGCCCATCGAGTTTTGAGATCAAAATTGTCCTTCTCTGTGGTTTTCTTCATGGCTCTTCAATCATTCTCCTTAAAGGAATTTGGTTTTCAATCTAGATGACTAGGCCTTCATTCCAATAACAGCTTCCTAGCGAAAGTAATCACAAATACACCTATAGTGTAAGCTTCAAAAATAAGCTCACAAACTGACGTAAGTGCATCAGAAACTAAGCTTGTTTAATAGGTGATTTGCTTTATGGTGTCATTTGACTACAAGTACCAGAATCCTTTACAATTATTTTCTTTTTCTCGTGCTAATTGGTGCAATTGCCATTTAAACTCTAGTGTAATAAGTGATAGAGGAGAAATGAAATGGATTCTGGTAGTTGTAGTCAAATGATGACAACATGCAAGTATGCTATTGCTGTAAGAAAATCAGTCAGTGTAAAATGCAGACTAATGGTAAAATGCAGACTGCAGACCAGGGGTAAAATGTGTATTTGCAGTCTGTGTTTTACACTGACCGGTATTTAAGAAAGACAAGAAAATACACATACCGGTAATTTAAGTACATAAAACTGCAAAAGAACTAAGCTATGCCTAACAATCGAACATGTCAGATTATCCAACATCATCCAGGACAAATTGGTAACATGATCAAATAATACTTTGAACGAGGAGCTGAGCAATTAGAACTGTTTTAATGTTTTTTAGGCCATTGGAGACCCAAGGTTTGCATAGTTTTAATATGCTATTAGGCCCTGGTCAAACAGACTCGCAAGTAGTCGCAAGTAGCCACAAGTTGAACTTGCGTAGAGACTTACATTGGGTGGCCAAATGGACTCACAAGTTTCCTCGCAAGAACGCACAGGTTGCAAAAAAAACCATTTCAAGGCAGACATATCCTGTATTTTATTGGCTAATAATAGGTTAATGGACATCACTCAACTTGCGTTGACTTGGGTTGGGTGGCCAAACGGTAAAAAACTTGCGTCGACTTGCATGCAAATTTGATCTCGACCAAAGTGAGTGCAAGTCATTGCAAGTCATCACAAGTCAATACAAGTACACGCAAGCCCTGGCCAGACGGAGTCGCAAGTAGACGCAAGTTGAGAACTTGCGTCTACTTGTGACTCTGTTTGGCCAGGGCTTTAGAACTTTCAGAAACTGATCAATACTGTAACCAAAATTTTGGAACATGCACCACTGCAAATATGAAGTAGAATAGTCACATACATACAACCCTTAGCAAATTAGATAACTGCAAGGCTAAAAATAAATGCTTTTGTAAATTTCGTTCTTGTTTATTACTTTGCTTTGATTTCCTGTGGTTTTGCAAAATACATGTACCGTATAAGTATTAAATATACCAGCAAAGGATATCAGATAACAAAGAGCAAGATCACCTCAATAATGCCGAAAAGTATTAGTTTTAAATGATTATATCGTATTTAAAAAAATTACATTAGTTTTCGACATCCTGTACATGATCAAAACGATTAAAAGCGAATTCAATTAAGCTCAAGTGCAGGTATTAAAAATTTAGCAAAAGTGTAACATCGTTTTTAATTCATGACCGTTGATCTCGATTAGAAAACGACGTTTCAGTCCTTGTAAACTCATATCATACCTTGACATCGTCCAAGATCACCAACGGCCCGTTTACACCAGAAACCGTTCTGTAAGCTGAAAACAAACACATCAAAACAGGTCATCAACATGTGACCAAGAGACGTAAGCTCGAGGCGAACATGAAAACTTAATCAATCTAGGAACAAAAATCAAGACGGCAAGTAATCGAATGACACTAGCTATTGCTTAAAAAGGACTTAAAACAACTGACTTAATCTTGGCTGTGAAATATAGTCTCTTGTCACAGCTGCAGCGTGTTCTTTCGATGCTCCGTTTTCACCCGGTGTCGGCGCCATCTTGGAACTGACTAGTTGCTTCACTCACGTCACATGACAGTGTCCGTAAATGATTTTCAGGGTGGGGAGAGTAGGGTGAGACGCTTAAAAAAAAAAAAAGAAAAGAAAAAAGAAAAAGTCGCGTTCGGCGCAAAACTTCCTTGAAAAGTTTGAAGAATTTCTAGGAAATAAGGAATTTGTGAAATTTCCGAAATACAAACCATTCAAACCAAAATTCCAGAAATTCAGAGAGGAAATTCAAATAGAAAGGAAAACCCTGGTAAGAAATGTGGGTATACCTTTATTATGGCTGGATATTGGCCTCGGTTTTTTTTTTTTTTGGCGAGTTTATGGACCTCGACTCCGTCTCGGTCCATATTCTCGCAAAAAAAGGACTTGGCCAATATCCAGCCATCTTTGCCCCACACTTGGTCAATAGCCCATATATATTCGTTTCTGTCATGTCAGTTTCATTTGTTCACACAACCCCAACTCCAAACGTAAAACAACTAATACAAAAACCAGCCATCCAATGTTTTAATCGCAATACGATAACTGATTCAAAGAAGACTGACATTTTAAGTTGTGGGCTACTTTATAATTGTTGCTATCAGCCCAGCCAGTGGTTGCGCCCAACAGTTTAAACAGTTGGGAACTCGACTTTGACATTTATTGGACACATTTAACGTTTAAGAAGAAAACAACAGAAAATTGAACAATGTGAATAAATAATTTAGAGAGACTGGCTGACGTATTTCAATCAAAGCAATGCGACCATTTTTTAACGTAGCTTCGATCGATCGAGTTAAATTTTGACATGGTTTTTTAATCTCAGAAAAATGATTTTTTCTTAATTGTATTCATTGGCCTGGATGTTATGGGTATGTTTATGTTTAGATGCAGTTTATAATTAATGAATTCATATAAGTTAACTCATAACAGATCATATCATACAAAGGATCAAAAATGAGGAAAAGCCGTTCAGGGTATACTGAACGTCAATATTTTTTCATAAACGTTGTCTTGTGTCTGATGGTAAATATCAACTTTGTAAACATTCGTTGCTTTTTCCTTCCTTGTAAAGACTGTAAAGGGCTCAGACAACTTATTTTGAATTTTACGTTTTACCTTTCCTCTACGCGATACCGCTGAATTTTACTTTGATACAAATAGCGGCTATAAGCTTAGGAAAGAGTTGGTCAATCTTATTTTAAATGAAATTTCGGCATTCCTCTGAACAGTGCCCTTGTTCGCCGCAGAGGGTACCTTGTTATATCGGAAAGTTGTATAATTTTTCCTTGTGTATAATTTGAATTCAGGCCCCGGTTGTTCAAAGGCTGCCGAGTGGATAGCGCTATCCACCGGATAAATCACCATCCAGTAGATGAATGTTAAAAAACCAAACCGCGTTATCCGTGGGATAGTGATTTATCCGGTGGACAGTGTTATCCACCTTTCGAACAACCCGGGCCAGAGACCCGTTTCTCGAAAGCCCCTGAATCTTTTCGGGCCCGAAAAGCCATTTTTAGTTAATCGGTATTTAAATACAGAGAGGTGTATACGCAAACGTGTGTTCGCATTAAGAATAAATGAATATAACAGCTGTGTAGTCAAAAGGTTTGAAATTTTGCGGCTACGGCTTTTCGGGACCTTCGAGAAACGAGCCCCTGGTGATCTGTCTTAGTATGGAACTCTTACGGAACATCTGTTAATTTGTTTTTCTTTTTGCAGCTTTTGGTAATGGGACATTTAATTGTAATAAATAAACAGCACTCCTGCGAACATGTATGCTTAATTTTTGCTTCTCTTTTTTCCGAGTTTAGTGACTTACGTTATCGCGGGGAATCAAGTCTTTTTTTTTTTTACTCTGTGTAAAAGATAACGGTTGTCAAAATTAAAGATAGGCCATCGATGGCCCAATATACTAAACAAAAAGGCTAGGCGTTAAATGCTGTAGGTGTTTTAATAAGGCGCGGGCCCTGTCGAAAATGGTAATTTAATTTCAAGGTAATTGAATAAAGTGGGGCTGATTATTGCAGTCGTAGCCGACCGAATGACCGGTGATGAAACAGATTTGTTCTGCTTTATTTATTTTAATTTTTATTTATTTATTTATTTATTTTTTTGTCTGGAGCCGGGCGGTACCCGAGGTTCAGTCCTGGCCTGCAAGGGGTTTTTGTTGAATAAAGGCTAGGAAAAAGAGACAATCATCACATTCTTTCTTGACTTCGAGTAATTATTTCTTTTACAAATAAATCGTCGCGGGTGAAGTGAGAAGACGCAACCTCTTTCATGAGTGATTTATGACAGAATGGAAGTAGGGACTGCTCGAGGACTGCTTCATGAAGCTCGCGCAGAGTAAACCGAAGACGTTTTAAGTAGTTTCTGGTGAAGTGAGTCCCCAAAGACTCAAGGCGACCATTTTATATCAGATCATATTTTAGAAATGATCAACAAATGTTGACCAGGGCGCGGGTGTATATTACGTGATAATTTACCTGTTTGCATTACAAAATTTTTTATAATTTCGCAGTGATCACTAACCATGAGCAAACCTTATATAAAAGAACACCCATAGTTTCATCAAACAAGAGCTTTAGAAAAAGCAGTCTTTGAGTCTTAATACACTAGAAATATTCTATAAACAAAGGCAAAATTTAATGTCATCTTCCAAAGACAGAGGTACTAACCTATTTTTGTGAAGAATATGCAGTTAAAACAGCTTAGTCGAATCTACGCCATCGTATTTCTAAACTATACCGGAGGGGGTATGCAATAAATTTGTTTTTCCTTGCGAATTTTCCCACAAGAAACAGTTAAATTCATTCGTGGTGCCTCCATTCAGTTGTGGGTTAAAAAAAAAGTTATTAAAAAAAAAGAATAAAACGACAAAACTTATAACAGTAGGATTTCAAAAGAAAAACTCGAACAAAGAAGATAATCAAGTCTCTTTTCAAACATGGGCACGTGTACCTTTAGTTAATTTTCAACAATACAAGTTTGATCAAGCTCATCTTAGTATTAAGACTGTTTTATATCCTTTATTGGCTAGGATGAAACCCTTAAGTCGAGGAGTGTTCAAATGAATTTACTTTGACAGAAGTTTAGTTGGCGCAAATTAGGTTCTGTTTGAAGTAGCCATTTTTGGCTGGAAATTCATTTCTGAGCCTGTCGTTCACGAAATCACGTCTAGAATGTGGACAAAAAAAAAACAACAACATAATCAGCCGCCCAACTATCGACTCAAGTCAATATTGACTTTTATTTTCACCTGACAAAAAATAAGCAGGTTTTGGATGGATGGAAGGCACCGGTCTCTCCGTTGCATGCCGCATTTATTAACTGTAAAAAAAGAAGTAGTTAAGGCTATAACCTTTTTAAACGTTCTGCATCGCTGGTGAAATTAGACACTCTTCTCTTTTACCTGAAGAACATACAGAAGTAATCGATTTGTTTTCATGAATTAAGAACACTTGATCGCACGTGCCGCCATACTTCTAGAATCACCTGCTGCACTGTTTACTTGGTGTAGTCTACACACAGTCGTCGATTGCCAATAAATTCATTTACGCCGTTTACTATATTGTTTTCATAAGACGCTCCCAGTTTTTATTAAACCATCAATTACTATGACACTTTAGAGCTAGCTTCATTTGGTTTGGAAATGTTCAATTTACTTCAGCTTAGATCATTGGTTCTCTTGCTCTCATCAAACAATTGTAACTGATTGCGTATTTACGGCAGTTTGTGCTCGTAAAAAGACTATTTCCTGATGAAAGTCGTTTTGTAAGTAATGACACAAGTATTATCCGTTTTGGGCGTTTAAACTCTTTGATGGTAAATCTTTTTTCAGGGTGACTGCAATTTTAGATAAAAGCTGGATTTGTCGTCGATTTTCTCAGCATACTAAGCTTTTTCAGTGCTGACAAGGATTTCGCAATAGTACTTCTCCGTTTTCGTTAGATACTTTTATTATCGCTGTGTTTACGTTAAAAATTTTCATACGCTACCGCCAATCTTTATGAAATAAATGTAATCACCAATTAATAGTTGTTCATTTTACGGACAACTTCGAAAAGGGTTCCTATTCTCATAAGACCTTTTTCGGGAAAAATTTGACAAAATTGATAGAATGGCCAATTTTTTTCAGCTGGAAAATGTGAATAATGAAATACAGACCTGCAGGGCGTCACGGTGTAAACCTGTACAGTTATGAATGCGATTGTAATTTTTCCAAACGGCGTTCTTTTATATAGGATTTCTATACAAAAAGGTATTAATAAGGGAAGGTCGTAAAAGGCAGTTTGCAGGGCGTCCGACCATTCTGCTTGAGTGAAGCTTGAGATGTAAAATACTAAGCTAAGCTGAGAACCAACAACAGCATTAGGTTCGATTTTGTTAAAAAAAAAAAAGGTTTTCTTCCATTCTACAATTTGAATAAATTACCCATAGAAAGCATAACCAGTTCATTGATTAAAAAAACTTTCACCTTGTCTGCTCATAGAAGCCACAAAAGTTCCACGCCAAACTGGCGGCAGCCATTAGTCAGTGCTTTTGTCCAAAACTCAATTTCCAAGCTCCTTTTTCAGCACTGTGCATCCGATAATTAGCGCCGTTTTTACAAGGATATTGCTCTTCCACAGCCTGTTATTAAAACCAAAAAGGCCTTTAATAAGCGCACATATTTGTTTGCTTGTAAACGAGAAAACTGATTATATTATGTGGGATAAGTGTGTGGGTAATAGGCCCTGCAAGAAAACGTTGCAATCTCGTTTCGTCGAGCTCTGGGAAAGCTTGAAGTGAAAAAAAAAAAGTTGATTCATCCTCTTTCTCGATACAAGAGGCACAGATGGTGAGTGAAAACACAAATAAAGTCACAATCAATCCCAACTCGAGGCACCTAGTCTAGCTTTGGCCTGATTCACCTGCATCCTTTTGGCGGAAAGTACGATTAATTTCTCATAACATTTCTGGCAACTGTTTCGCACCGAGATACGACTAACTAATGAAAGAAAATGATTTGATTTCTAAGAAGTGTATTTTTCAAATTATGGCCGACTAAATTGTATGTTAACTATTCATTATTTTAACTTTTGGCAGCCTGTCTTTTTTTCGAGAGAAGATAAACAATGTTTCTTTTTCAACTGGCACGCGTCTTCGTTTTCGTACTTTCTATCAAAGGTAAAGATGACTTTTGAAAATCGGCTGACTTTAAGTGTAATTACAGGACGATTTCCAATAAATAACCTGCTTGGAACAGAAAAGAACTTAAGAACAAAATGTTGCTGGTGTAGATTGAACAGTGTTACATCCGATCTTCTGATTAAGTTATTATTACACACAACTCAATGCAAACAAAGACCAAAAAATGATTATTTCTCACTTAATACAGTATATCCGTTTTCATTTATTCCGTTTATTGACCTAAGCTTACATAAAAGACGCATGTATAAACGGTTTATATCAGAGTTATCGCATAGAGCATCATCCAGGATCAGCCCACGACAGATAATACCAAAAGAATAAACAGAGCAACTGGGCTTCCAAGATGTCTACAAACTTCTTTTACTACCGATGTCCGTGTCCTTCCGCAGATTGTAACGGAGCCATTTGTAGATACCAAGATATCGTTACCGCCCCGGTACCCAACCAATATTCCTCTCCATCCTGCGCACATTTCACGCAGGACAGGAAGCTTTTGTCGTATCAAACGACTACTAAAGACATATCAAGCACAGCAGGGAAATATGAGTCCATGTCAAGCCCAATGACGATCACGCGGGATAACTTTCGTTGGACGCCATACCCCAGCCAAAGCAGATTAACCCAAGAAAGTTCTACACCGCCCAAAACCGCTACAGAAAGACGTAAGTTGCGGATATCTTTTTAGCAATAGCTATGAACAAGTTACGGTGTAAACTCCCACAGTATATCAACGATCTATCTTTCCGCGAGGATTCGTAGAGAACTAGTTTAAGAGAAAGGAGTTTCCCCTTAATGTTAGTGTTACGATATGAAGTGTTCTTTGAAAGGAATCTAAATACATATATATCCGTTTTCTTTAAATGTTAGAGCTTTTAACTATTGGAATCAAACGTGAAATTAACTTAAAAATCAAAGAGAATAGTGATTTAAGAAGCTTGTTTTCTAAAGGCTTAGAGTGAAAGCAGTTAAAGTTTTAGCCGAGGTAGCGCGCACTGGCACAGACTCAAATTTCGCTTAAAAGTTGATGTTGCAATGCTTAATTCTTGGACAGATTCCCTGCAGCGAACTAAAAACACGTAAAGTTAAAGCTCTCAAACAAATTAAGTTCAAACAGTTAAATCGCGTACTCGGCCATTCTTTTTCAGCTCATAGCAGTACTCCGACACAACAGACAAACCAGAAGACGCCGAGCCGCAGAACACGCCGTGTACGCACCGCCTTCACGCCATTTCAGCTTCTTTGCCTGGAGACATCGTTTGAAAAGAACCACTACGTTGTTGGCTCAGAGAGAAAGCAGCTGGCGTCGTATCTCAAGCTAAGCGAAACACAAGTCAAGGTGTGGTTTCAGAACAGGCGGACCAAATGGAAAAGGCAAGCGCTGGAGAACCGTGCAGACCTCAATAAGGATCCTCTTACGCCTTGAGAGAGACTTACAGAGCTCAGAACTATAAAGAAAAACTGCAGCATGAACTATTTAACCCGTGATGTTTTAGACTTTTCATCGCCGTTTTAAACTTTTAAAGGACCTTATTCACGGTATTTTGAGTTAAAACCTGAAAACAGTAGTTTACTGAGATAGAAAAACACCAAAGAGATAACAATAATTCATAAAAGAACAAGGATGGTCAAGGATGGAGAAGATTGACACGGATTACAAACGACGAACTTGAAAACTTTAGGCTAAACTTTTCAAGGTGCGCAAACCGTGAGGCAGCTCTTTTAAGTTCAAAAGTCCGCTATTTGTTACCTGCATAAACACGTCGTCCGAAATATGTAGAAAGCACAAACTAGTGAAAGATCTTTAAATATGACAATCCAAGATATAATACTACACTGTATAAAGACAAACAATTTATTTCAAAACTAAGAGCTATTCGGTTCAATGTCTCGGGTCTAAATTAATTTTTCCATACAAAAACTGTTTCAGCTATTTGTCAACAAAGTCCTCTAACAAAGAAAATAGTAACAGATGTACAACTTTGATAAAGAAGCTATCTACTAAAATAAGTTATTTTTATAGATTATACCAAAACATTTTAATTTTCACTTTTCTTTTAATCACGGTAGTTCCGATTCACTTTGCAGTCAGCAATTTTAAATTTTCACTTTTCTTCGAATCATAGTTTTTTTTTTGCGTAGAACATGGTACCGTTGTAATATCTCCCGTAGATCAATATTTTATAAGTCTGATCAAGGTGTTGGCCAGTGTTAGTCAACTGACTCCCTAGCAATGAACAAGCGTTTTTTAATTACGTATTACGTTTAGCCCTAACGCTGAAAAGTTAACGGTAACTTATCAAAAATATTACTGTACAGTTAAAGCTTTACAAATATCATACTTGATAATAAAACAGAGCACTGTCCTATATACGGCTTTACGCCTAGAAAACGCATCTGTTGCTACTTTCAACCTTTTTCCCACGATATCGATGTCAAAATATAAACTCTCCAGAACAGTCTACTACACATTTCTTTGAATGTCAGTTCCGAAAATAAAATTTGGTGGTAAATCAAGAAAATATCTCTAAAATGACGATTTTCTATATTCTTGTCACCTGTACAATACATTTATATTATGGGGGGAAATTAAAAGTTACAAAAAGATCAGTCCAAAACGTCCAATCCTTCATCACTGCTGCCTCTCGAGTACTATAGATAAACTTATTGGTCCTCTAATGGCCATATTTGACGTGGTCCCTTGCCTCCTGAAAGGCCCCAAATAACGCCCATGGACCTTTCCCGCGGGTAGCCCAGACAAAAGGATACATAGCGCACCTCATCAATAACACGGTCCCTATTTCTGTGTTGATGACCGTGAACGTGTACCTTAGAACCTAGCTTTCTGATTTGCTCTTCTATGGTTTTACAGCCTGCAAAACGAGTAAAATTGAACTGGACTTGCGATCCTTGAGCTCTGGGATTGTCTAATGAAGGAAGGCTCGACTTTTTCCTTTCTTCTTGGACTCGTTTCATTTCTTCATCTGATGCTGGAATGAGCTCAACACGAGGCAGAAAATGGCTGAACGATATAACTGGTGCGTCGTAGTCCCTAGCCACAATGTCCTCGTTCAGTTTTGCAAAGTACTGCGCAACGGTTCCCTGAAGCGTGGGCCATTTACATAGATGGTTATCCATCCATATCTTGTTGGACAATTCCGCATCTTCAGAGTCTCTCCCCACGAATAATGAGTTCTGAAGATCGTCTTCAGGTTTGGCATACCAAGAAAAGACTGGCACAACCCAGGCTGCAGTATTGTCACAGCATTGAACCTTTATGGGTCTTATATAAACATCATCAATCGAATCACAGAGAGCCAATATGGCATGGAATTTGGCAATGGAATGTTCATGGCAGTAAGCATTCTCTACTTGACGAATCCAAAGTTCGTGATTTCCTGAAATTAAAAATATTAATAAATTAATAATCATTAACAGTTAATTATATTAGTAAAAATTATATATAAAAATAATAATTATTAATAATTAACTATGAGTAGATAAACAACTACATATTTGCAGTTATCCCAAGGTGGATTGCTGGAAATTCCAAGGGGCAGGGCGGTTTCAAAAGCCAAAATTTTTAAAGGAAAGTTTGAACAAAAATTGGAACAGCCAGAGGGTTGGGGGGGGGGGGGAACCCAGCGATGGATTAGCATTCCATACACCGGAGAGTAGGAATATTTATAGTCGTTTAATTTTACAAAAACCATAATAAGCTGCGGCGGTATTTACAACTTGGCCCGACGCACGCTTCAAATTTTTATCTGTTTCAACTATACCGAGAGCACAAAGCTCTTAACCTTTCATAAATTTCTGTTATTTGATGAAGAAAACTGGAAAAAATACAGAATTATCTCAAAAAAGCTGATTTCTGGTCAGACCTACATAGAATTTGATGGCTGCCATGGCAACGTCAAAAATGATGGACACAATTGACATATCAAAATTTCCGCAGAGAATGAAAGAACAGCTACTGAAAGTTTCAGCCCGTTAGAGTAAATTGTCCTTTTAAAACTTTGAAAAAACGTTATGCGGCGAGGGGAGGTGGCATCCACCCTCCTCCTCCCTTGTACGTCCGAAATTGGTAACGGTTACCTTAGCGTTACGAAGAATCGACATGTTAAAATGAAAATTAATCTCATCTCAAAGATATAATACATATTTCTGGGGCAATAAAAGCTTTTTACCTCAATCCAGATCTTCTTTAAATCTGCCAGGTCATTGTCCGTTCTGTTTAAGTGGGACATTAACTCTGTGAAAGCATTTTCAAGATGCACCATCTAAAATAAAGAAAAGGTACTGATGTGACAGTTATTAACGCTCTTTATGTATTGCTTCCCTTCGCCAGTTAAAAAGAAACTTGTAAATTAAATGGTGCAGATCGGTTCTTGACGAAACAGCTTAAAAACGTATTTTTTCTCAAAGTCAGTACAAGCCGGCTTTTAGCGCGACCTATTATCAACGACCATCTCCTAATGGTGGTCAACGCTGAGACCAACTATGGCAGCGAGCTTAGAGAGACGTTCGCCCTACAGAAACTAGATATAACCAAGTGCTAGAAATCCGCATCGTCAGACCTTTCGTATTTTAGTATAATTCTACTTGAACACCTATGCAAATGCTGCAAACTGATTGGCTGAATGATCATACACTAACAGCCGTCTTTGTGCAGTGGCTGAAGGTCGTCTTCCTAATGGCGACGTGTTCTTCGTTTTTGAAAAGTTTTGAAGGAAAATTTTGATACAAATGGTTAATTGCATTCCTGAGAAGACTAAAAGGAAGAACATTGACGGTTTCTTGACTTTAAAAAACTTAAAACTATTGAAAAAATGATACTCGCGCACACACAACTTCAATTACAAATGACAATTTAACACGAGCGATCTTTCTAAGACGCAAAGTCGAGAAGTAATTGGAAACCGTTATTTAAAGTAGATTTCAGTTAGAATTCTACTAAAACAATTAGATTATTCGCTCTCGATTTTGGCTTCACCAACTATCACCTCATAGAAATCTCCAGCTAGTTCAGCAGATTGAATAAATACGAGCATTCATTTACACCAATGTACGTTCATTATACTATTAGATTATGAGCGCTCATAATCTAATAGTATAATGAAAGTACATTGGTGTAAATGAATGCTCGTATTTATTCAGTCTGCTGAAACATATTTGAAACCATCAGATGGATTGTAATATTTGGCAAATAATCTCTGAATTGTGTATAGATTTGCATTTGTTTCCGTCTGTCTCTACTTCGAGAAGCATTTGTGACCACAATGTAGTTCACTGACAAATGAGGTGATAGTTACTGCTAACTTGCTCGTTATCTCTCAGCCAACCTATGGTGAGCATGTTTATGACAAAATGGGGTTGCTCCTTACCAAATCCAGTTGTTGGTTCGTTATATTCTCCTCAAAGGTCTTTATGTCGGCTAAAACAGATTCAGAGCCTAAAAATAAAAATAACAATCAGCTTCAGCACGTAATTTGAGTGGCTTTATCTTCCAGAACATAGTGAAGACAGGTTATGGTATTTAATGACTTAAATGCTCTCTTAGGTTCCTTGAATTTACTCGGTCTTAGAGATGAATAGAGGAAAAACTAAGTATGGTTTATTTTTGTATGAATTAATGTAGAAAACATTTATTGTTGACCCACAGACAATTTTAGCTGTGATTGCTTTCATCCCGCTGGTCATACCTCCATTGCTCGATAGTGAGTCATTTGAAGAAACTGATCGAAGCACTCAAAAAGACGAGCTAAGCATTGTTAAAGTATTGTCGATGAAACAGCAAGAATCCGAGGTAAATTACGAACGAGACTTTACTCATAGAAACGTACATTAACAAGATGGCCGCGGGAAGCCCCGAGGCGCGGGAGAAGCTAGAGCCAGTTCCTTGCAAATTGCATATGACGGAGCATACAGCGACAAGCATAAGGCACCCAAAAGTCCACGATGTATGGTCATGCTGCTTATTATGGTCTATTGCTATCGTGAACCTCCACGTATATATTTATTTAAAGGCGGGGAATGATGGCCGCTGGAAAAAAAAGATCTGAAATGAAATAATTTGATTTCGATTCACTCTTACAACAATGAACTCCTATAACGAACTTCAGTCCTGAAAAGTCTGTGGTTTGTTTACAGCTTTTCATTTTAGAACTGATGCTTGTTTTCTAAGAATTCGAAGTAATTAACGCGGAGAGCATCCTTCAATTTTAACCCGACTGATTCAATTTTGAGTGTTTCTTTGTAATTTTAGAGTATTTGGGTATTTACTTGGTGACTGTTTTATTAGTCGAGGTTTAGACACTTCGAGTATTTTATTTTAGAGATTTGTGTGCTCCCTTTATGGCCGGCTAGGTTGTTCGAAACCCGGGTAATGCTAAACCAGGATTAAATGTCAACCAGAGTATTACATTTTTTTCTATAAAAATGTTTCTCGCTGCTTATGTTTTGTGTAGTTTGAAACTATCCAAACTTAAAACTGAAGGACAAACAATATAAACAGAAAACCTCACCTCAAAGTTACAAAACTGGAATTAAAATTATAGCTAATAATCAGACTTCCAGCAGCCCGGCCCTGAGTTTTTCGTTTTTGAGATTTGGATATTTATTTTCTAAGTGTTTCATTTTCGAGGTTTGATGACTTCCTCTCTTAGTATTACGTTGGCTGCCGTTGCATTTGAACGCTTTTCTTTCACTTATTGGGCACGTCCTGCTAAGTTCACTGTTTTCGACTTCTTCATTGGTACATTTCTTTGCCGTCCTCTGCAAAACAACAACGTGAAATGGCCAAGTTCTACGTATTTTAGAGAACGTGTACCGCAATGGATACTTTTTCATATCTTTTTCGGATATTGATAGCTGTCGGTGCGTGTTTAGCCTGGGCAAGTTTTTAGACCGATAGGCGTGCTGAACAGTTCTACATAGTTGCGACATTCGAAGGTAAAATATAAATACATTTTTTTTACAAGGCGTCGTCCTGGGCGTCGCTGTCGTCATTGCTAAAACTCCCTTATGGTGTTCCAAGACAATGAAACGGCGGTCATGATGGTGTACCAAATCAATCCAGTGGGAGTTGAACTCTTGTCTTATATAAACACTTCCTTTTGTTCCAATCAATTTTCATGGCTGCTGGTCACGTGACTGAAACTGACACCTGAGATTTGTCAGTTGAATACGAAAACGAAGAAATATCATTATTGCTCTAGACGTACAGTCCACTAGACAAAAAAAAAATCATTACCAGATTAAGTACAAAGGGCGCAGACGTGGATTCATCGGCTCAGGAAACTGATAACTTCATATTAACCCATTTCGTTGTTCCTACTTAGATTTCATCGCATTGTATGCATTCCTTAAATTTATTTGGGGAAAATTATTCGGCTCTGTCACCTCCGTAAATTTCCCCGATGTTAAACAGTCACAAGTGAAAAGCCGGGAAACAAGACGTTGGGCACTGAACCACAGCAATTGTCATTATTGTGTTGTCATTCACTGTTTCATTTATACGCTGCCTTTACGGACGTGGCTGGTATTCGTTAATCGTTTGTTTTTTAAAGATGTCAACTCGCGACTTAAGTGCTGTGAGCACGAGCTTTTCCCGCCAGAAACATTATTATCACAAAGGACTCGAGTTTAGATAAGAATACTTCTAGCTGATTGAATACGAGACAGTGCGACTTTTTAGGCCTAGTGCTTATACGTTTCACGACAGTCTCGTACCGGTAAGCCTCAGCCTATTAACTGGTCAACAGCAGGAAGGAGTGTGGGCTCAGAGAACTCAACTGGGTTGAAATAAATGAACTGGAAAGACGTACCGGCAATCAACCTCCTACTTCTTTTTATACGTCCATAGTTCTATGAAGGGATTATCCTCGAAATTTTGGTATGTTTTCATATAACTTTCAGCATTCCAAACAAAATTTTGCATGCTAAGTGATTACACATTTTGTTTTCTCCAACATCAATTACTCTATGCTCTGACCTTCGCTTGAGGGTCTGATTATCCCGGACAACATCAGTAGCGTCAGCAGAAGAGCCACGAGAGATATTAAGCACACAATAATGACCAGGGCCAATAGGGCGCGATTTGATCCTTGAGAAGACTTCACTTTCTTAGGGTTTAGTGTGTCGCACAGATTGCGTTGATCATAATTTAAATGGTCATGTATCTCTTCTGGTTGAATCCTGAATGCTTTCAATTGAACGGGTTCCATTGAAGTCGGGTCAGTGTCGTAATCTTCATAGCCCGAGTTTATATGAAATGCTTTGGGTGATTCATTCATCTTGAACTTTCTTCCTTTCGAGTTGATTCTTTTGGGAATAGAGCCTCTTTATGCGACCAAGATAAGCTCGATGTTGCTTTGTATTGAAGCACCGACAGACTAAATGCAATTTCGTACAAAATAACATTTTATTGAAAAAGAAAAAGAAGAAACGAAAATAAAAGAGAGCAATTAATTTATAGTGATGACAAGTTACAGACTATAAATAAACTAAGAAAGAAAGTTTTATAAAAAGAAAAACACAAAAACGGCAAAATGCAGTGTGAAGTCACACAGTCGATTTGTCCTTGAAAAAACGCCGAACATAGGCACGTAAGGCGTGCAAGAGACATTGTTTTGTGAATTAGAACATTTTACCAATACGAGTACCAACATATTAAAAGGGTGTCTCGAATACTCAGATCATGAAAACTCAGACCTCAGACCCGAAAAACCTCGGACCCTCTGGATATCTCGAAAACTCAGACCCGAAAAATGAAACAACGTTTATCAAATTTATTTATTTAGTAACCATTCGAACCAAGTTGCGAGACTGTTTCGTAATACAAATAAAGAGCCACGCTGCAGAACTGGACATTCGCAAACGGATATAGCCTATTATGGATTCTTCCTAAATTCCATTTTGAGCAGAATAAACCATTAATAGACTGGGTTTTCGAGACAACCAGAAGGTCTGAGTTTTTCGGGTCTGAGGTCTGAGTTTGCGAGACAACCCATACTAAAAGGCCCTTTGCAGGACCCGGACACAAGGTACCAAATCAGCCATGCTGGGACGCAAGTTACAAAATGAGACTTCCAAAACAAAGGAGGGTTCAGCTGGGATGGTACGAAACTAGTTGCTATGGAAGTCCCACGGTGTATTTTGCGTCATGGCACGCACGGCTGATTTTGCACAACGTGATCATGACCGGGTACATTCCCAGCACTTAAGACTTCCTGCTCTAGATTTCGTAATGAAAATAGTTTTATTTTTACCAATTTGAGACTCTTTTACAAATTAAAAAAATGTCCATAATGCATAAAACACAAGCGAAAATGTCCATAACGCATAAAACACAAGCGAAATATGCGAAATCTTGATTTGTCACAACATTAGTCTTTCCAGAGTATTTTATAGTAGATGATTTTCTCTGAAGACGTCGTTGAGACAGATGTACGGTTGAAACGGAAAGACAAATCTTGTAAAAGAAAAGAAAAGGGTTAAATTTAGAACCAAAACTACGCGAGAAAACCTTTCGACGTAAACATCAACGTACATTTGTTTTAGTGCAGTTCTGACCCCTGGACTAACATTTCTTTAGAATCCTGGCCGGTACTGTGATTTGACGTAATAGCGTGCGATCTGCGCAATGGACACTTTTAACTACCTTGTTTCGATTGTTTTTAATGTCAACGACTGAAAACTGTCCTGCATGCATTTTTTTTCCTGAAATGGAAATTTTCGCAAATTTGGCAAGGCATCCTGCACGCCTACACGGTATAATGTGGCTATAGGTTAAACAGTGATGAAACCTAAAATTAGCCAGAAATTCCGAACCAAAGTGGGTGGTGCTTATTTCTGTTATGCTCCAGTACACATGTCAGCCTGTCAATAAAGCTAGCGTGTGATTGGCCCGTCTGTTAAAGCCTAAGCTGTAGTCAAACCAAAATGGCGTCGCGCGATAGACCGTCTAGAGGCTACTTCTCGGTCTTAAATTCGATTTCATCCGTGGACGCCGACTTTGGCCAGCCAAAAATAATCAAGTACAGAAGATCGTCGTATTGGGAAGTTGAAAGGCTCTGGGGGGGGGGGGAACCCAAAAATACCCTCTGTGGGAGGGGCACAGATATTTTCTGGAATATCACAGTTCAACAAGTTTGAAGCCTTCTTCTATTTTCTATTTCTATCCAGCTCATTTCACCTTTTGAGTACAAGGAACTATTCACTGCGCATCATATTTAACTCCAGGTTTGGCAAGGTTTAAACCTCAACCTCTCTATTAGGACAAAATATATAATTTTCCATGTCTCTTCAGGCCTTACCTCAAATATTTCTATCCCTTATGAACCATATTTTGACATAATCTTTAGCTTTAATTTTCCAGTTCATTTTCTATTGTTTTGTTCTTCACACACTAAAATGCATGGAGCCCCTACCCGTTACTTGACTACATCTCTGTGGACATAAAGTAAATGGTAGAACTTTAGAAGTGAAAACCATTCCAGACCCATTTGATCTCTGTCATTTTTATCACAACTTGAATGTCAGTAGATCGCATGACAAGCAAGCCTCTGCTTAATGAATTAATTAGATGAAATGGGCTTCCAAATATTGCTACTTGAAAAGCATTTTTAATTCTGGCTGTCACCCAAAATCCAAAATGGTGAGTTTGACTAGCAGAGAAAACACTGGAGGGGTAAAAATGTTTAGTCAAAGTATTTTCACAAACAAGTCAACTCCTGTTATAGACTGAAAAAACTATTACTGATTATACATAAATATACACATTTATGCCTTCGAACCTAGCCATGTAAAGTATGAAAACTGGTCAAGCCAGTGAAATAGTCTGAATCATGATAATAAATAATTAGTGACACAAGCATAATCCAAAAAAGAATTCCAAGTTGTCCAGCTAGGAGTCAACTTAAGACTTTATGGTTACTTCAATAACTGGCATATTCCATTGATGACTGTACATAAACTTGTATAATGGCCTTAGCTCTCGTGAGTCTCCTGTGGCTCAGTAGCAGAACATCTGGACTTCAATAACTTGCATTTTCCACTCCCAGCAGTAATAATACTAGATATTTGTCACATGAACCTAGTTTACAGGCCTTAGCTCCCTTGAGTCTCCTGTGGCTCATGTGTAGAGCATCTGGACTCGAGTAACCAGAAAGTCTTTAAGGACAATGCCTACTTTTGTTAGTGCGCACACGTTCTGCGCATCACGCAAGCCATGGTTTAAGCGCTACGCGCACGCTGGGGTTGACATTGACGCAATCAACTATGCTACCAAGTACACGGCTAAATCAAGTTTAATGTACCTGTACTTAAACCAGAAACACCAGAATAGGAGCATATCACTAACCACTAACTGTTAACGTCTTCCAGCTGAAAACCTAGCTGTTATCTGTCAAAAATTATACTGAAATCCAGCTGTAAACATGTACCTGCAGATGGCATAGTGCGCACACAAAACAAGTTCGAGATACGCAAATGTCTTACTTACTGGGGAGGTGACAGGAAAAAATGTAACCGGCACCGTAAAAGTTTTCAAAGAAGATGAATAACTTTAAAAAACGCATGGTTACCCCTACATTTTATGTTAAGAAATGGAACTGGCAAGCCTATTCAACACGTGATTAGTTTCTGGTTGTGAGCAAAAGATATTTAGACTGTGGTTTAGCTGAACCACAGGAAGGCTGTCAGAGACACTAAAAGCGCTGTTGCAACGATTTTGTCACTAAAAACATGCCAAAAATGGTTTTTATGTTACCATTTGCAATGTAGTTAAAAGATCTTTCTAAATGTGTTTGCTTTTCTGTATGTAAAGGTGAATTCCAAGGAAATCTGTGAAGAAATATCCTTTCCCTCTTTTAACAAAAATGCTGATGTCAGCATTTTTGTCAAGATTCAAGGCTAATTATCTTGAAAAAATGCTTGGCTACCCCCATTTTTCTTTGTGGATTCCAATAGCCCTTGCAAAGATCTACTTTTACTGCATGGTCCTAAGCTGGTGCAAAAACCTTTGTATTTAGTTGGCACCATCCTTAAAATAGGTTCTTTTTCTGAGTATGCCTGTCACCTGTGTCACTAACAAATTTAATAAAAGCTCATTTTCTCAGCCTGAATCATTTTTGGCATGTGTGATGATATGTCCAAGGTAAAGAATGTTCTGGGTTGCAGCTTGACTGTGTGGAGATGTGTTATAGAGTTAAAGGGGTACTGAGTGCATCTTTTACTATTATAGAGTTCAAGACTTCCACGTTACTAGACAGAAGAGACTTTGAAAGACTGTTTCTTACAAAGTAAGAAGCAAGACTGCAGACTGAGCACGCAAGACTTGTTACAGTGTAGCCCAACAACTTAGGTAGGATCAAGTTTCATGTGGTATTGCAATTATTTACTAATTATTAATTAATTATTTTATTTATTCATATCTGATTATGGTGTTTGGCCACTAGAATGATGTTACATAATTAACCCATGGCGAAGTGGTGATGAACAGACCATGCAATCTTCCAGGTCCATTTCACCCAGGGGACTTTGACTCCCCCAGTCATTCCTAAGGGGTATATCATCAGGTTTCCTTGCACCCTACTGAAACACAGCCCCCCTGGTCAGCTCTGTGATTTTCACTATTTTAATAAAACTGAGACATTTTAAAAACTGAGACATTTTCTAAGACAAAGTCAAAAAAAACATTGAGATTCAGGGAAAATGAATTATTCTGTGTTTTTTAAATCTTTCTCTTCAATCAGGCATGGAAAAAATCAATAGAAATAATCAGCAAATCAAACTTCATAGACATGAGTCATAGTTTGTCAGTGGTCTAAAAGTAAGGATTTAATCAGACTTCAGGACAGGACAAAACTTTGTTGTACATTCCCGCTATCCCTTCCTCCCTCTTGAGTTCTTCGTCACCCTTTCTACCTACCCCTTCCCCAGAGCCTCCTCCCACTAGGCGATTTGATAACTTTTTACCGATGTGAGCAGTACCTGGTACGTAGCAGACCTTCAGAAACTTCTGTGCGAGAGTCGTTAGAACTGTTTTTAGTAGAGACAAGTTATCAGTGACGTCTCCAGCCACAATAAGCACGTCATTCAGGTAATCATTGGCGGACCAACTTTCAACCAAACGTAGATTTTCTGGTATATCAACATGAATATCTGAAATCGCAAAGATCCGTGACATTCTGGATGTTAAGGAGCACAAAAATCGACTTGTGTTAAAAGACATGCACAAACAAATCACTCATTCCATGGAATTTTTGCGGTTCGATCAGTCCTGTGTACGATCCGCCATATCGATATTTCCTTGTTACCAGTGTCTCCTCGAAATTCAATATGGCGGCGCGTAAGAACTCTTCTTCCGCTTAACACACCTGATTGCATGTGATAGGCGCGTGATAACGTTTCAGTACTTGAGAACAAGCAACGTAACCATTCGGCAATTACTATTTTAAGTAAGTACAATAACAGGGAATTCGAAATAACCGAGCTCGAATTAGCTGGGTCCAGCATTTTGAGTATTAATAATGGCACATCGGTGGTCCGATGGGTGGTCCCTCGTAAGGGAACTTTAGCTGTTTTGTAAACCACCCAAATGGCTCTTTCTTCTGTCTTCATTTTTTTTTTTTGCCATAACTCTAGTACATTGTCATTGTAGATCTTGCCATTAAATTGTAATAAATGAAACTGAATCAAAAATGAGGATGAGCTACTGTCACGTTTTGGGAAGGGCGGTGTCTCCCCGCGAGTTATCCAAGTACAGATCAAGGAATTTTTTGGAAAAAGTGTTTGTGCGTACGCGAACCGGAATAGCAAGCGTCCTTGCTATCTTCTCAGAAGGTAGATGGGGATTATAACCCCCTCACTTCTCCCCTTGGTTCCTCCTATGAGA